ATACAACTATCAAGGACAAAAAATCACAAAACAGCAAACAGAACGTCACTGATCATCAACTCGACTAACAACGCCTTATGCCCAGTATGCACCCTCAAAGACTACATACAGCTACACTCACACCCCTCCTATGCCAACAACTGTGCACTGCTTTTCGCCAAACCTGACAGCTCTTGGACCACAAAGACCTGGTTCATCACAAGACTAAAACACTTTCTGCCTGACGAAAATGTAGCAGGACACAGCTTTCGGGCAGGAGGTACGACTGAGCTAGTGGCACAAGGCGTTCAGCTAGTGCTAATTCAAAAAATCGGAAGATGAAATTCCGAAATATTCTATCGATATATTCGAAGCCACCCGGTCACCATCACAACCATTCTAACAAAAGTTTACATTAATTAACCCTCTCCACAACCTTAAAGCCAGGACCGGATTAATTAACATCAGCCGCATTACCAAAAAAAAAAAATTAAAACAAAATAATTATAAAAAAACGGGGAGGAGAGATCACACACATGCACACATATAACATATCTAAAAAAAAAAAAAAAAAAACGCACCTATACATATACATGTACAAGAAGTTAAAAAAAAAAAAAAAAGGGAGGGAGAATAAAGAAGAAGGGCAAAACAAAAACAAGACCAAAGAAAAAAAAAAAAAAAAAGTAAAAACAAATATATAAATATATATATATACATATATACAGACATTGTACACGAGATACAGAACCATGCGCTGCCGCGCTACGACCAACAACCTACAACATAATCAGCACACAAGAAAGGGGGGAGGGGTAACATAGGAGGACCTATACATAAGAACCCACACTCATACACAACTAATAAAGGTACAAAACAATAAGGACGCAGCTTGCTATGTAACAGTATAGTAGCAGTAAAGACAACAATGAAAAGGTTTGAATAACAGAACCATTCTAAACCTTTGGAGCCATCACATGATCCTGTTATTCTAACAGCCGGCCTGCTTCGGCAGGCAGGAAACCACCGGCTGTATATATTTGCACTAACAATACTATTTCCTATCTGGTCTGTTACTGCGATTCCCAGCCATAATCCACTATGTGGATGATTTTCTTATTATCACACCCTCAGATGGTGCCCAAGAGCTAAAACAGTTC